TGCGAACCCCCTATCTCAGTCTCACTGGGAAAATGAAGTGACTTCTTTCACGGGGAGTTAGTTGGTGAGATTCTGGACACAGCGGCCCCGCCCGGCTCTGTGTCCGGGCTGCTGCTCTTGTCCTGAGGTCTCCGAGGTACCCGCAGGGGCAGCTGGGCTCGCACCTGGCTTTGGGCTCTGCAGTCCCCAGTGCTTTGGGGTCTTCTGAGAAGTGGCCTCCTTTCCCTTCAGCACAGGGGTGGGGTGGGTGGGTCCTGCCAGTCCTGAGGAACAGTTTCACAGTTTCAGAGCCAAGGTGGGTGCCAGTTAGAGCTTCCCACCCCTCTCCCCTGTCTGTGACCTCTGTGCGGTCTCACCAGGCGGCTTCAAAGCCAGTGGAAGCCAGTGGTGTTCTCTGCATCAAGATGTGTATGGAGGTCTTTGGGGTGCAGGCTGTGAATAGAGGGGACCTGGGGAGACCCCCAGGGCTCCTGCTCACAGGCCTCTGGGGCCCCTCTGCTTTTGGGGAGAACTCTCTCAGCTTCTGGCCTCCCTGTGGGGGTCCCACCTCTTGCCCCTGCTCATGTCGCCGGTTGGGCTGGCGATCTCATGTTCTTGCTCTTTGTCTTAAAACACACGTCAAGTTGTAAGACGAGCTGCATAGGGGTGGTGCTGGTGGTGGTGGGGAATGGTTTCTTAAGACTCTCTTCTCGAGTGCTCGACCTCCGTGGCCCCCGTGGTCCTGCTGGTTGGTTCCTGCTGCCGGGCTGCCTGCTTGTTCATTTTCACTCCTCAAGCAGCTTCTGCTCCTCCTCCTCCTCCTTGTGATAAGCGGTGTTGCCGGCCCCGCCGAGCGCGCCCAAGCATGGCACCTTCTTTTTCTTTATTCTTCCCTTCCTCTAGGATGGCCCTCCTGATCTATGGCTCCGCAGGGCCGCTGCAGACGGACGCCCCGTCTCCGGGATCGGGGACACCGTGAGTCCCTGCGATTTGCTCGGCTCTGACAGGACGTTGCGGGGAGCGTCCTTGGAGCGCCTGGTGGGGCTTCTCTACGCCGTTTCTTGTTCTGTTCCCCTTCCTTTCCCCGAGGCGAGGTGCCAGCGTGCCTGTGGGGAGTCGGGGGCTTGCCCCCCAAAGCGGACCGGAACCGCTCAAATAGCCTTTGTTTATCTGGGTGAAGACTATTGGTAATGTCTGCCTTGGCCTGGGCGCACAAGAGATGGAGGGAACCGCACACGGGCCAGAGTCTCTGTGGAGATGCTGCCTGTGACATAAATAGCATTTTAGCCTTATTATGAAAGTAGCTTTGAGCTCACAGGCTCTCGCAGTCTGGGGTCAGTTTGGTTCCAAATGTGCGGGGAGGGGGGGCAGTGGGGGACTGTTCGGTTCCTGCATTGTATGTACGATGCGTCATGCTGGGCCCGGTTGGGCGCCCACAGGGCGGTGTGTTAGATTATAGTCAAGTTTGCTCAGGTTGGGGGGACTTTGCTCCCCCGTCGCGTGTAGATCCAGACCCCAGCCCAGGGTGTGGAAGGGTGATCCCGTCACAGAGGCCCCGTGCCCGGCCGGAGACGGTGCTGGGTCTCCCTGTGGAATTTACCATGTTGTGGAACTGTGGGTGGCAGTTGCCAGGCTCCTGGTGCCACGAGGTTGCAGGGTTCCTGCCGGTGCTGGGCGCGAGGCTCGGAGAGAGGAGGTGCCGTCTCGGCATACCACGAGGTTGTGCACCATCACCACTATCGGATTCTCTCTCATTCCAGAACGTCTTTGAAATGAAACCCCGTACCCATTAGCAGTCAGGGCCCAGCTCCTGCACCATTTCCTCTCTTGAACGGATTTACCTATTTTGGATATTTCATATAAATGGAATTATACACTGCCGGGCTGTTTATTGCTTTGACCCTCTTTGCGCTGTAGCGTGTATCAAGACTCTTTTCAGTGCGGAAGTGATTATACTTCCATCGAAAACGTGATGTCCCCCCTTCAATGTCACCAGCTGGTGGAAATTTGACTTATTCCCACGCCCTCCCCCAACCCCCTGATGACTTTATTTTCCTCCTATGGACATTCATGTCCAAGTTCTGTGCAGACCCGTGTTTTCCATATTCTTGGGTCTGTTTATTGACTTTTGCTGTCCGTCCCAGAGGTTACACATCCTAATGTGTTTAACATATGAAGGTGACTCCTGGGAATCCTGCTGCTGCCTTGAGCTCCTGTTCATGCTTGAACACACGTTCACCAATGGGCCAATGGCAGGGGACACTTTCTAGAGGACTTAGACGTCAGTTTCTCGCACGCCCTGAAGCGGGAGTGAAACACCTGTGTGTGTGTGTGTGGGGGGGGGGGCAGCGTGCCACGTGGCCGGGGAAGAATGTGCTTTATGCTGGTTCGAGTGGGACAGGGAGGTGCTCGGGTCCCATTCCAGCCAGTTTTGCTTCTTGAGCTGTAGGCTAAGCCCCCCCCCCCCCCCCAGCTGGCTCCTTTCTGTCTCTCCTGGAGACAGTGGGCTGGGTGGGGGCAGCTCCCCATTTGTCTAGGGTCCCCACGATCATTTAATTTGTGGGGTGTCTCGCTCTCCTCCTCCCACCCTTGCCATGAACATTTACAGTTTTTTACTGAGGAACGAGAAGACACAGAGGGAAGGGGCGTGCGAGTCCCTCTTACAATTCACAGCGGTCTCAGGGATGTCTTAGGGGTGCGCCACAAGGTTCAAAGGGTGGATATTCTGTCTTCCTCCAAGGGAAGGGCAGGGAGCAGGTCCGCCCAGATCCCATCTCAAGGGTCTGCAGTGACTGGGGTTGCCTATAGGCTCGAAACGGCTCTAGCGGTCGGCTGTCCCTGTTTGCTTCTGGGGAAAATGTTCAGCTGAGGCCTCAGGAGGGGGCTCTGGAGGCTGTGGGAGTCCCCGGTCTGCGCTGTCCCGGGACTTCACACTGTGGGGCTGAGGAGCGCGGTTTGGGGTGTCGGCTCCTGAGCTGACGCCCTGGAGGAACTCTCGGGCCACATCTGGGGCCCTCGCCTGGGGCGCTCTGGTGCTGTTAAGAAATTGAAATTGTTCTGGGGGCAGGGAACCCATAGCAGTGCTCGTGGACCCAGATGCCACTCCTGGTGGTATTCTGCCACGGCCCGGGTCTGGCAATTCAGAGCTATTCGGCCCCTTGGGACTCAGGCAGGCATTTGGGGGTCCCCAGCGGGGCTGGGGCGGCGATGCAGGGCCTCGTGTGTGTAGGCACTTCCTGGCCCTCAGGGCCCTCGGTGGTTTAGATGCTGGTGGCTCAGTGGCAACGGGCTGAGCGTGCTATGGGGATAGTGGGGCGCAGCTGCAGATGGCTCTGGTGAAAATGGTGGGCAGTCCCTGGGGGCTTCTAGCCAGCCACAACTGTATATGCCCATGGAGGGGGTGAAATAAAGCATTTAGAAACCATCCCCTCACCGGTGTCCCTCCTTTATGGCTTGTTTGGACGTGGCTTCCCCGGTGTGGCCTGTGGTGGCATCTTCCCCATACCCATGCCCAGGACCCTGGACAGGTTGTGAATGGTTCCCTCTCCCCTGGCTGCCTGTTGAACCCTGCAGGCAGACACAGTAGGGCTGCAGCACAGCCCCCAGGGCAGGGGGAAGGGTAGACGGCCCCAACAGCGCCACAGCAGGCTCCCTGAGCCCCCCGCCTCCAGGGAAGAACAGGCATTTCTAGAGGCCCAGGTGGTCACTCCCCACGGCTGCTGCGACAGCAGTCACCACAGAATTTGTGATGGGAAATGGCAGATTCCTCAGCCTGCGACATGGGCCCCCAGCCCAGTGGGGGGCTCCTGAGGACTCAGACACAGAGCATTGCCTGCCTCCCCCACCAGGAACGCCGCAGTGACCAGTGGCCCCACTGCCGTCATTCCCGCTGGAGACACTTGGCCTCTTGGGATGGTCAAAGTTAGCCCCAGGCCAGCCTTGAGCCCTTGCCCTCTTCACAACCTCTGTGGGCTGGGGGGTGTTCCCAGGGACGGGGGAGGGGCTTGCGCTGAGCAGGATGGGGGTGCACGTGTCACCCTCCAGGGTGGTTCTTCCACTGGTACCGGCTCAGTCCCCAGAGCTTCAGATGGTCCCCCCAGCCACCCAGAGTGACCCGTGAGCAGAGCTGGGTGTGGCCCCAACCCCACAAAAACAAGAAACGTGTCATTCAGGCAAGAGGACCCAGGGCTGGAGGGGAAAGTGCCCGATGGGGCTGCAGGGGTTAAAGGCAGACTGGGCTGTGGGTCACGTCATTGGCTTTGGCCCAGACTCGCCACCACCGGGCCCCACGCCGGCCTCCAGAGTAATCAGTGACAGCCTCAAAATGGGCTTCTGGGGGAACAAGGACACAGGCAGTCGAGGGGACTCAAGGCGTGGCTCACACAGCTGCCCAGCACCAAGGCTGGGCCCTCACCCCCAGCTCTGCCTCCCCCTGGCCAGGAGATGTGGCGCTTGACCCCTGCCCTCCAGTCCCTATGAGGGGGAAGAGACAGAGCCGAGAAGCCCAGGGTGCTGGGGAGTCGGGGAAGGGGAGAATGGGAGCAGTGGAGGGCCCCCCGCCTTACAGAGACAAGCCCAAGTGGGCGAGCTTGTGTTTATTGTCTGTAAACTCTTCTTTGGTAAACAAGAAGATGAGAAACCCCAAGAGAAAAGGAGCACAGTTGGAAAGACGAGGAAAAGGAGTGGCGCCCCCCCGCCCCCCGCCCCCCCTCCCCAGGAAGCTCTGAGAAGACAGCTATGGGATAGCAGAGCGGGCGGGCGGGAGAGGAGCCGGGCTGGGGCCCTGGGTCACACAGCGACGAGCTCATGCACGGTCACAGTGGAGAGAACAGGGGAGCCCCCGCGCCCCCTCGGCCTTCCCCGCCACTGGTATCCCCGGAGGGCAGTATCCCCCTCGGGGGGCGCCGGTCCCTCCGCTCCCCCCTCCCTCTCCTGCGCTGCGGGCTGCGGGGTGGGGTGGGGAGCAGGTGCACAACCTCCGGGTCTGGGGTGGGGGAAGTGGCAGGCTGGGGGGAGGAGGCAGCCCCACCCCGCCCCCCTTTACACGGGGGGCTCGCTGCAGAGGACGATCTCCAGGTCCTTGCGGTAGAGCTTGCCCGCCTCGGCCAAGGACATGACGCTCTTCCGGTAGCCCGTGAGCTGCTGGATGTTCATTTCCTGGGGGACGGGCATGGCGTTAGACTGTCCACATCTCCCTCCCTCCCTGCAGACACTCTAGCACCCATGGGATCGGGTGGCCTCGTCCGTCACCACCTGATACCACGGGGGTGAACCCGATTAGGCGCCAGAAGGACCCTCGCCTGTGGACGTGAGGAAATTTCCTCCGGTGCAACGGAGCATGAAGATTTTCTTATTTTGGCGGGCGGAGGGTGGCATCCACTATGTTCAGGGGCCACTTCAGGAGGTGCTGGGGGACCAGATCATGCTTTGCCAGAGCTAGAACCTGGGACTCCCACATGAAGAACGTGTGTGTGTGCCCCAGACCCCCTCCCTGCCCTGGTATAAAGACTCTGAGCTACGGGAGGGTGCAGGAGGCATGATGTGCTGCTCATTTCCTGGGTGTGTGATTTGCCGGAAGCTGAGGATGGTCCAGTGAGTAGCATTTGCCTTAGGAGTGTGACAGAGACCACCGAGCTGTCACGCAGCCCCTCTTGGCTGAGCAGAGGTGCCCCAACCCGAGATAGCCCTAGACCACGTGGCCCCGGGACTCACCTTCTTGTTTTTCTCATACAGATCCTTCAGGAGGGCGTCCAGCTCGTTCTCATCAATGTAGCCACTTCCGTCCTGGGGATGACCGGGGTCAATGCAGGCTGTGGTCCAGGCCTGCTCACCACCCTGGGAGGTCCCAGCCTGGCCTCCCCTTCCTCTGTCTCAGAGGAGGCCGTCAGGCCTCACGTGCACTGACTTTAGTTGATGTGGGAATAGGGCAGGGCCAGGCTATTTTTTTTTTTGTGGGGGGGAGTGGCTCTGGGGGGAGGATGTGTCATCTTTTTGCTATTTTTCAAATCCAAATGAGGTTTGAGAAGCACTGAGCTGACTCACAACCTGCGTGTCGCAAACCATAGTCATATATCAGGATGAAACTGCAGGTGAATTGTTGGCCCCAAGACAGCTGGGGTCACACACGCTGGGGATGACTAAAGGGAGGGGTGACCAAGGGCTTAACCAGCTGTCTAGAAAACTCCAGCTCCAGTGCAAAGCCAGGACCTGGCACCAGGGGGCAGTATGGAGCGCAGTCCCTGGTTTGCCGCGCTATGGGCCATCTGCTCACACAGCAGATCTGGGGAGTCCCTGGGCCAGGCAGGACCCGCGTGCATCTGTTCCTGAAGACTCAGGACGGAACTGAGGCCTCTGGCTGGGCTGCTGCCACCCTACCTTGTCGTAGAATGTGAAGATGGCATTGAACTCCTCAGCAGTCAGCTTCATGCCCTGGAAGGCCGAAGTCTTAGAGAAAGAAGCACGCCGGCACCGTGCCCTGGACCACACGTGTGTGCACCGGAAATTGGGGGTGGGGGTGGGGGGGTGTTCGGGAGGGGGTGTGAAGAGAAGCAGGTACCAGGACCACACCCTGGCTGTGTGTGCAAGTGAGTGGCCGTGAGTCTGACCCCAAGCGAGTGGCCGTGAGCGTGGCCATGAACGTGGCCGCCGCCCGGAGTGCCATGTCGAGGCCACAGCCAGGAGTGGGGCGTGCTAAGGGCCCGCGGTGTGTGGGCGCCACTAAGCACGCAAACCCTGGTCCTCACAGCCCGGGCGGGAAGGAGAGGACAGATGCTCACCTGGAACTTGAGCAGGAAGTTTTCCTGAACGGGCAGGAGGCTGGAAGGGAGAACTGGGAGTTAGCAGCCCAGAGGGAGTGAGCTGGTACCTGCAGGGGCGCCCTATGTCACCATGGAAACCGCCAGTGGGAGATAGTGGGCACCAGCCCGCCCCTCTGTTGGCAGGAGTTAGGGTGCACGGGCTCCTGCTGGGGTGCTCACCGCGACATCTCTGACAGGCCCAGTTTGCCGTCCCCATTCAGGTCAAACATCCGCAGCTGCCGGGACAGAAGGAGGCGGTGGGTTACGGGCGCTGGCCCTGCTCGCGGGGCTCTGGGGGCCAGGGAGCCCGTGGGTCTGGACAGGCAGTGGGAAGAGGGGCGGGAGGGAAGGGGCGCTCCCAGTCACGGCCCCAAGACCCCAAGGCTGAGTTGGTCCATCATCAGTCCCTCCTGGCCCCCGGGCATCCTAGGGCCAGGACTCACGATGGTCTGCGTGTACTCCTGGAGCTTGGGCTCATCGTGTGGCCGGTTCGCTTTCTTCAGCAGGTCAGAGAGGAAGCCCTGCGGGAACAGTGGCCCCCTGAGGTTCCCGGATCAGTCAGTGCCCACCCACCGCCCGCTGTGCTGGGGCTCCTCAAAGCCTCTCCTGAGGACCCCTGGTTCCAGAGGGATCAAGGCATTGGTGCCCACTTGGGACAGCCCACCTGGGGGCCCCGAGGGGTGTATGCCTGCACCTGCACAGGCCCCTCAGCGGGTCCTACCTTGAGCTCATTGGCTTCGATGTAGCCGCTCCGGTCCGTATCATACTTCCGCCAGGCCTGCAGGACAGGAGCGCCATGCTGGCTACAGAGCCCTCCCTGCACCCGGTCGCCACCCTCCCTGGTGTCCTTGGTGGGGCCACATCCTGCAGTGCCGGGGTTAGAACTGGGGCCTCCCATGCACAAGTCCCTTGAGCATCTCTCAGGCCTGAGCCTCCCACCTTGTCACTGGGTGGACCCAGCTGTCACTCAGGGTCAGACTAGTAGGGGGTGGGGACATGGTCTCCGGGGATGGGGAGATGATCTAGCCCAGTCCCTTCCTTGTGGCAGAGGAAGATATGAGGGAGAGCATCTCAGAACAGGGTGGGAAGAAGGAAGGGGGTAGAGAGGGGGAAGGAAGGAAAAGAATGAAAGGAAGAAAGAAAAGGAAGGGAGGGAGGGTGGAAGGAAGAAAGGGAGGAGAGGAAGGAAGGGAGGGTGGGGGAAGGAAGAAGAGGAAGGAAGGAAGGAAGGAAGGGAGGGAGGGAGGGAGGGAGGGAGGGAGGGGAGGGAAGGAAATAAGGGAGAAAGAAAGGAGGGAAAAAAGGGAGAGAGGAAGGGAGAAAGAAGGGAGGAAGGAAGGAAGGAAGCAGGGAAGGGAGGAAGCAACGGTCAGATTTTCCGCTGTGGGCAGAGTTACAGGTGCCCTTTTACCGCTCTGTGAGTTCGCATGCTCTGGGCCTGGGGGGAAGAGTAAGAACCTTCTGGAAGGAGTGGGATAGACCTGGTTACTCTTGACTCCCTCCTCTATCCTGTCATCACTGTGTATTTGGCAGCGGAGGCCGGTGGTGGAGCAGAATTACGGCCAGTTTAGACTGAGCCAGGCCAGGCAGCCACGGGCCGAGCCCATCCCCCGGATCATGGCCCAGCGGAGTTGAGCCATCTCCAGGGTCAGGCCAGCGATCTTGGCGTGGGTACCTGACCACAATCCGGGTCCCTGGGGTGTGAGTCAGTTTTCTGCCACCATGTCAGGAGGCAGCTCCCCTCCCTTCAGCGTCCCTACTCCCCCTAAGCTGCAGCCACCCCCATTTCAGGCCAGAGATGGAACAGGGGCTGGCCTGGGTGCCCCGCTCTCAGGAACGGGGAGGAAGAACTTCCTTCTCTCAGGACAGATTGGCACACAGATCACCGCCCCCCCCCCCCCCCCCCCCCCCGCCCTGGGCCAGGTCCTTGACACATTCCCTGTTGAGGAGGACGAACAGGCCTGGGGTGGCCCAGAACGTCCATTCTTGGCATCTTGAAGGCAGAAGAAAACCCTTCACCACCGCAAAGCCGGCCCGGCTCTGCTAACTCAGGGCACGCACTGGGGACTGACTCTTCCGCCCCGAGAACGGGTGGCTTCCAAGGGACTCTGCCCACGTGGTGCCGCCACTGCCATGTGGATTTAGGTGGTGAATCACGGAGTGGGGATTACCGGTGGCTGCAAGTGGATTTAACACAACAAATGGTGCGTGGAGTCACGCTGAGGGCCAGACACTGTTTACCCCGGCCTGTGCGACAGGGCCAGGACTTCACGCTGCGGGGCACACGCGGGGTGCAGGGCCCAGGCCGTGAGTGGGAACGGTGGCGGTTCCCGGGCATCAGGGTTGGTGACACATCTGAATTGATTCTGATTTCCAGGCAGCCCCTTCCCGGGTTTCAGCCTCCCGGTCGGTACCTGGAGGCCCTCGGGTTGTCAGTCCCTTTCCTGCGGGGCTCTGGGCATCTTACCGAGGCTCAGCCCATACCAGTCAAGCCTGGATATTACCAGAAAGTGGGCTTCTCGCTGAGCAGCTGGACAGTAAATCCCTCCTTCCTGAGTGCACGCCGGGACCCTTCACTTCCAGCAGGGAGCCCAATGCAGTGGGTGACGCCTGTCTGCTGCAGTGCTTCCTCAGACACCCCCCCCTTCCCCTCCCACCCCACACCTGTCTGTGGAAACACCCCAGAGTGGGGCGCGCCATTTCCCAGATGCTCCCCACCTAGCTGCCTTCTCCCCCAGCGTGTCTCTTGGGGGTTCTCAGCTCCCACTGGGGGTGCTCTCCGCGGACCGCTCTGTGAGCTGCGGGGCCCTGGGGGGGGGGGGCGGTCAGCGTCTCCCAGGCCACTCCTTCCCAGGTGGGCACTGACAGTGGGGGAGAGGGGGCAGGGTCCAGCCTCACCTCCATGAACTCCGTGCTGGAGCCCACGTGCTGCCGGAAGCAGAGAAGGAAGTTCTCCTCGGTGGGCAGGATCTGTGCCAGCTTCGGGGGGGCAGAGAGAAGCAGAAACGTGAGGGGGGGGGCACCCGGGAGCAGGGTGGAGACGGCTGTCTGGGACTGCTTGCACCATGGAAGGGATACTCAGCTAATGAATTGGACTGGGCCTCTATGGATCTCCTCTGGGGTTGGGGGTGCCAGGGGCTTGCTCCTGCAGTGCTGGGTGTGGAAGGAGGCCAGCCTCACCCCAACGCTCTCTCCAGCTCTCAGCTCATTTTCATTTTTGCCTGATTTTTTTATGAGGTTCGGTTTGAACAATTTCAACTTGTAGGTACGGCCGTGTTTGCTCTTTAGACTTGGCCTGTGGGCCGTGGATGGGGCGTGACCTCCTCTGGCCTCCCCTTTGGTCAGTCCCTGTGCTGAGGGGGTGGGCACGGGCTGGGCGCAGGGTGGAGTTGGGGGGGCACACAGCTCTCCGCCAGAAGGGGGCTCACCTCTGCCATCTCAATCTTCCCGTCCGAGTTCTTATCGTACTTCTGCATGAACTCCCTCATCTTCTCTCCAAAGTTGTCACCCTTGGACATCTGAGGGAAGAGAGAGGGGGTTCACCTGGCTGCCGTGTCCCCCAGGCCTCTGCCCCGCTCTGGGACGGCTACCGCAAGGCCCTTTTTGCACCCCAATAGCAGGCCTGGTGCGGGAATGGGGGAAGGGCTACTAGCATCCTTCTTGCTGCTCGCCAAGGTCCCTCCAGACCCAACCAGCTCCTCTCTCCAGGCTTAGCCCAGGGTGCCCTGCACGTTCCGGCCTGGCCTTCCCGGCCTTTGAGGGGGACTTATCCTCTCAAGATTCAGATGTGAGGACCGAGGCCCCAGCTTTTTAATGAGATTGTTTTAACAAAACCCAGCCTAATCTAGAGGTCCATTCCTAGAGTCCACGAGGTGTCAGCTACCAACCAGAGTAGGGGGGCGGCACTCCTTTTTTTGTTGTTGTTGTTCCTTTTCATGAGGGGCATACCTGGCAGTGCTCAGGCTTACTCCTTGATCAGTGCTCAGGGATCATTTCCGGTGGAGCTTGAGAGGCCATAGGTGGTGTTGGAGGGTCCAACCTGGGTCTGCCTTGTACAAGGCAAATGCCCGGCTCACTGCGCTGTCTCTCTGGGGCCACTGCTCTGTGCTCTTCGCTCTGGCGTTATGCCAGGAGAAGGTGTTCAGGGAGAATGCGAATAATTTAATTTGTATTGGAATGTCCACGTGATTGCTACTTGTGAGGAAGTTGTTAGCCCACTGTCACCTAACTGAAATCCAAGCCTCTCAAAGTTTTATTTATATTTTGGGGTGCTACACTCTGTGGTGCCGGGCTTGCTCCTGGCTCTGCACTCAGGAACCACGCCTGGTGGGCTCAGGGGACCATCTGGGATGCCGGGGATGGAATCCGGGCCGACTGGGTGCAAGGCCAACGTCCTCCCCGCTGTGCTCACTCTGGCCCCCGTTCAACGTCCTGTCACCTTTGGTACCATCTCTGTGTGACAATGTTTATTCACTCCTGTCATGGAGGTTTGTGACTGACGTTCCAAGGACAGGAGCCAGCCTGCAGGTGATGAGAGCCGAGCACCCCGGGCTCACTGCTTTCCAGATGTGCAGGGACTATTCTCGAGACTTAGCGCAGACGTGATCCCATTCAATTTAGTCTGTCCCCGGCTGCGCCCCCACTGACCCGGACCCCGTGGATAGCAACACGCCCCACTGCACCCCTGGGGGCCCGTGGCTCCAGCCAGAATCTGAACTCGTAGCTCTAGCCGCCCGGTTCAGTCCTGTCTGTGCCGTGGAGCCATCTGGGTGACACCCTGGAGGGCATTGTTGGCAGGGGTGATGGTGCCCCCACAGTGCCATCTGAGAAAGGATCTGGGGCCCTAATCAGAACACGTCCCCGGTCTCTCGCCCCAGGCCAGTGCCCATGATCCTGGCTTGGCCACCCCGCCAGGTGGGCGAGCGCCCTGCTGCTGGACCAGTCCAGAGGCCGCGGCTCTGCCCATCTCGGCCTGGCTTGGAGCATCTGTGCTTCTCTTCCAGATGCTCCAGCAAAAGAGAAGAGGGACCCCCAGAGTGCCCAGGAGGGGCGTGGCGGGCATGCCGGGGCCAGAGTGGGAATGAGGCATTTCACTCTAACCCCTCAGCCTTCCCGCATTTCGGGTGCTCTCCTCCAAAGCCCGGGTGAATCGGGTGGTGCCGGCTGGACTCCCCGGGGGACAGAAGCACCTGCCTGGGCTCAGGGGTGACCAGCAGGTGGCTGGACTGGCTCCAGGCATCACCCGCGGTTTCCCGCTGGGTTCTGCTCTGTACTGACGAGGGCTCCAGCCTCTGCCAGGCTAGAATCGGGGCTGGAGGGGGGCCTATTCTGCGGCCCCTCAGGTATGGGGGGTGGTATCTGTTGGGGTGCTGCGGAGGAGCCCCGGGGTTGCTCCTCCACTGCACACCCCACCTCGATCTGGCTCCAGCATCACAGAGACAAGTGAGAAACTTCGGTCTAGAATGAAGACAGTGGCGCATCTCTGCCAAGCACCAGGGCCAGGCCAGGAGGACACAGACACGAAGCTGTGCAGCTTGGGGGGGGGGGGCTTCATTGGCACCCCAGGCCCAGAACCCGAAAATCATATAAGGGAAGCTTCCAATTTTTGTTTTGTCTAGGTTTGGGGCCACACCCAGTGGTGGTCAGGGCTTACTCCTGGTTCGGTGCTCAACGGTCACTTTTTTTTTTTTGCTTTTTGGGTCACACCCAGCAATGCACAGGGGTCACTCCTGGCTCTGTGCTCAGGAATTACCCCTGGTGCTGCTCAGGGGACCATATGGGATACTGGGGATCGAACCTGGGTCGGCCGCGTGCAAGGCAAACGCCCTACCCACTGTGCTATCGCTCCAGCCCCTCAATGGTCACTTTTGGTAGGGCTGGTAGAGGGGCATATGGATGGGGGAGGGCATACGGGGGGCATACGGGGTGCAGGGGATCAAGCCAGGGTTGCCAGGTGCAAGGCAAGCACCTGAATTCACCCCTGTAGCATCTCTCTGGCCCAGAGAAGGTACCGTGTTTTCAAGGACAGACCCCACATGAGGAAGAAAGTCCTTACAGATCAAAGGAGGATAGTGTCCTGACCGGCTGCAGGGGTGTCCCCTGGGGCGACCCGAACTGGGGGCTGAGAGGGGGCGTGCAGGAAGGTAGGGCCTGGGCTTACCACACCAGAGCCTTTTCTTGCCTTCTCCAGCTCTTGGAAGAAGTTTTCCAGCTCCTTCCCTTCAATATAGCCATTTCCTGTGAAGATAGCCAAGAAGAAAGAAAAAGCAACAGACCTCAGAGCTAAGCCGGCAGTGACGGGGCGAGGGCCAGAGGCATGATCTGGCCGGATCCCCGCATGCGCCTCTCACGCCTAGCAGTGGTGTTTTGGCAAAATGGGTGGTCACCATTAAGAGGGTTTGTGGACATCAGGAGGCCGCCTGTTGACCCCCAAGAGGGCTGTGGCTGCTGCGGAGGTCCCTGACCAGGGCTGTGGGCATGATGCGGAGAAATCTGGGGGTACGGGGGAGCCCCAGATCAGAGAGTGACATGCACAAATAGCACAAGGTCCTTTAGGTTCTATTTTTTTCTTTTTTTGTCAGGGGCACACCTGGCAGTGCTCAGGGCTTAGTCCTGGCTCTGTGCTGGGCCATGTTTGGTGATCCTCGGGGGACCGTTTTTGTGCCGGGTATCAAAGCCGGGCTGGCTGGGTGCACGGCAAGCACCTGAGGCTCTGCACTGTCTCTCCAGCCAGGTCGTTTAGGGCCTTGTCCTTGAACCTGGACCCCCGAGAGCACAGTGTCCGGTCTCTGCTGTAGGTCTTTGTCTGACCTCTGCTGGAGGTCAGACACGGCCGAGTAGTGCTTCCCAGCCTCCAGGGAACCAGATCCGGGTCACACAGTGCTTCTGCTCCCCTCTAAATGTTCTGATATAATCTGTGAACTGAGTACCAGGGGGAGGGTGTTGCTTGGGTTTGGGGCCACCCCCAATCGTGCTGCGGGGCTCTTCCTGGCTCTGTGCTCAGGAGTGACCCCGGCAACCCTCAGGGGTCCATACGAGATGCAAGGTCAGCGCCTTACCTCTGCTCTATCTCTCTGGTCCTCAGCAGCATTGTTTTTTTTTTTTTAATTTTTATTAGTGAAACATCATGAGGTACAGTTGTAGACTTACAAATTTTTGTGCTTGGGTTTCAGTTATACAATGATCAACCATCCCTCCACCAGTGCCCATTCTCCACCACCACTAATCCCAGTATCCCTCCCACCCCCCATCCCCCACATCCCACCTTGCCTCTGTGGCAGGGCATTCCCTTTTGTTCTCTCTCTCCTCTTGGGTGTTGTGGTTTGCAAAAGAGGTGCTGAGTGGCAATCATGTTTGGTCTATAGTCTACTTTCAGCATGCTTCTCCCATCCTGGGAGGATCCTCCCAACGCCCTTTATTTGGTGCTCCCTTCTCTATCTGAGCTGCCTTTTCCCCTAGCATGTGTGGCTGGCCTACAAGCCATGGAGCAAACCTCCGGCCACTCTTGGGTGTTAGTCTCCTAGTTTGTTACTTTATGTTCCCCAGATGAATGCAATCTTTCTATGTCTATCCCTCTCTTTCTGACTCATTTCACTTAACATGATATTTTCCATGTAGTAACACTTGTATGTAAATTTCATGAGTTCATCTTTCCTAACAGCTGCATAGTATTCCATTGTGTAGATGTACCAAAGTTTCTTTAACCAGTCATCTGTTCTCGGGCACTCAGGTTTTTTCCAGATTCTGGCTATAGTAAAGAGTTCAGCAGCATTGTTTTTGTTGGTTTCTTTTGGGGTCACGCCCAGAGGAGATAGGGGACTACTGGCTCTTCGCTCAGGGGTCACTCCCATTGGTGCCTGAGGCAGGTGTGGGGCCGGGAGGGGTTGCCATGCACTGCTGAGGGTCAAACCTGGGCACATGCAAAGCGTGTGTTGGCTCCCACATGCCCCCCCTGGGAATTTAGATTCCCCAGTAACCGTGGAGACGCCCCCTAGTGGGGCAGAGGCCGCAGTGCCTGTTCTGTGGGGATGCTCCTGAATCAATAATGGGGCAGGGAAGTGGGTCTTTCCTTTGTAAAGGTGCCTGTCAACAGGCAGGGGATGGAGCGGGGCTTGGGGTTGGGGAGGGAATATGGGAGCACTGGTGATGGGATTAGTGTTAGAATATCAAATGTCTAAACCTCCGTTATCAATAACTTTATAAATCAGCTCTTTAAAAAAAATTTTTTTTAAGTTTTCTTTTTTAAAAAAAAAGATTGTTCCGTGGGGGTGCGGGAGTGAAGCCGAGTTCCCATATTCCTCCCTAGTGTTGGCTGCCACCTTTCTTCTAGGATGTTCTGCAAAAGACACTACCCAGGAGCCCGAGGGAGGCGGGCAGGTGGAGAGCTTCGCGGGAGCAGGGGCCGAGGTCTGCTCTTCTCCCTGACCTTCCCTGCCTGAACTGGCTCTCCTGAGGTGAGAAGCGGAGTCCAGGGGTAGCTTCTAGAAGCCGGAGACTGGGGCGGGCGGCTCAGGGGCACAGTGCTGGCTCTGTGAGCCCGTGTGAGTGTTCCACTAGGCCTCTGAGGAGAGACTTGAGAATGACCGAGCGAGTATGATTTGTGACCCACCCGGGGCTTGGGGGGCAGCAGGAGTTTCCACCTTCCGAGCCCCCTTGCTGCTGCCCAGACTGCCCTGGGGCTCCATCCCTGCTGCCGGGGGCTGGTCAGTGGGGGCGTTGCTGCCCCTCACCTGCCTGCTGAATCTCAGTCCACTCACCCGTGACTTGGGGACCAGGACATCGCTTGGCTCCTCCGGGGACAGGCAGATGGGACAAGAGGTCGTTTATTTACACCGTGGCCAGGCCTGGTGGGTGGGCTACGCTGGGTGGCTGGGGAGGACAATCTTCTTTTCTTATTGTGGGCTTGGTGCGGGGGGCCGGGAGGTAGATATGTGGAAGTTGGGGGTCACACACACAAGGTTTGGGCTCCCCGCCCCTCCCCACGGGCAGCCACAGGGCAGGGAGGATGTCGGGGCCTCCTTGGAAATGGGAGGGGATTGGTGGCTCATGCCCTGCAGGCGTGAGAGGTTCGAAGGTGACTGAGCACCATGGATGTCCGGGCACGAGCCGGTGCCTGGGCTGGCAGGACAGGGGGGACACTGGGAGAGGCCAGGATGGCCAGGCACAGCAAGCGCCCGATTCCTCCTCGGCAGATACTCTGGGGCTCCCTCACACCTGTGGGAGGGGTGCCAGGGGGAGGGGCAGGTCCAAGCCCAGCATGCGTCCATCGCCTGGCAGCTGGACTTCTGCTTGGGACCTGAGAAACCGAGGCACGGAGAAGGGGCACTTGGGACGTCCCACCACAGCAGGTCCAGACAGGCCCTTGGACCTGGTCCCAGAGCCTCGGCTCATTAATTCATTCACTCATTCATTCATCCTCTCCCTCCCTCTTCCATTCATTGAGCCCCTGCTGTGTGCCAGGTAGACAAACATGGGCCAGAAAAGATCTTGCCAGGAGACTTCAGACCCTCTCGGGTGTGGATGGGGCAGGGCCAGGCAGCCCACAGGGACCGAATTCAAGCATGGCATCTCTGAGGCGGGTTCAGCTCAGCAACTCCACTCTCCTCTCCTCTCCTCTCCTCTCCTCTCCTCTCCTCTCCTCTCCTCTCCTCTCCTCTTTTCTCCCTTCTCTCTCTCTCTCTCTCTCTCTCTCTCTCTCTCTCTCTCTCTCTCTCTCTCTCCCTCTCCCTCCATTTTACCCAGAGCTCAGGAAACCACAGCAGGAAAATGTCCTCCAAGGGCCTGTTCCCCACGAGCGTTGGCTGGCCTTTCGGGGTGTCAGAGGATGGGGGGAGGTATTGTCAGGCGGTGTGAGTAGGGTGTCTAGAAGAAGGAGCGTCCATCACCCAGGGGAAGGCAGCACCCCTCTGTCCCCTGGGGGTGCACAATGGGTCCATTTCCTTTGGGGGAGCCCTCCAGTACCAGACAAGTGTTCGCAGAGGCCTGGGGTGACCGCCCTCCTCCAAACAACTCTTCTGCCGATGGGCACTCCCGTCCTGCCCTGGGACCCAACCCAATGGGCCTGCGGGGGCCGGGAGGAAGGGTGTCTCCTTCTCCCCTCTCGGCCTCTCTTGTTAACAAGGGGCTGTGCCTGCCTCAGAGCCATATAGCGTGGCAGGGCCGTGGGATCTTGGAACGACACTGAGCCTCGTAGGAACGGGTCAGACCTCACAGGCACACAAGGCACGTGGCTGTTTTCAGGCTCCGAGACCTTCAGCCCGCAGCCCCAGTGTGGCTTCCACGCTTACCCAAGAGGGTCCCACTGCAGTCTCTTCCCTGAAGCCCCCTGGAGGCTCTGAGGACCACCACACAGCCTTGGGTAGAAGTCACAGGGTGCGGGCTCCCTGGGGTGCCGCTCAGGGCACAGGCCGAGCTCAGAACAGCTTCCGAGCAGCTGGGCTGAAGACTTCAGGTGCCCAGGGTGTACCCGGAGGTCTGGTTAGTAGGCGAGTGCAGCCGGGGGGCCTGGGGGCTGAGCACTGTGCAGAGCTGGGGGTGCTGGGGAGTCTGCTGGGAAGAGCAGCACCAAGGGAGGACTCTGCTTTCTAGCAGTTTCTTGGGACACATTCTCAGGGCCTCAGTGAAGATGGGAGGAAGGCCCCAGGAGTCACAAAGTCTGAACGGAGCACCTGCCTCCGGGTGGTTGGTGTGTGTGTGTATGTGTGTGTGTGTGTGTGTGTGTGTGTATTTGAGGCTGGCCAAGGAGGAACCTGGGGGACTTGCGGATGGTGACGCTCCTCTGCATGGCAGGGTCAGGAGGAGACCCACCCCGTGCGTTGGTCAGGACAGTTCTGTAACAGAGAACCGTCCAACTCGGAGCACGAACCCCAGTATCTGTGATGAATTTTGTTTGTAAGGACGTTGAAACGCAATGGTCAGAGCTGGCATCACTCTCATGGAATAACAACGCAGGCAGAGGAGGGAGATGGGGGTACACTGTTAGGGAAAATAAAGTCTATTTGTCAAAAAAAAAAAAGATTGCTTAGAAAGAAAAGCCAGAAATAGCCCGGATTCTTATCTGAAGAAGCTGGCAACTTCTTCCAAAGAGGCCCTAGAGACAGGGGTAGGGCACTTGTCTTACATACAGCTGACCTGGGTTCGATCCTTGGCATTCCAAATAGTCCCCTGAGCACCAGCAGGAGCGATCCCTGAGCACGGAGCCAGGAGTAATTGCTGAGCACTGCTGGGTGTGCCCCCCC